CGGAGGACAAAGCAACGTGGGAGCAAGAAAGCTATATCTTGAAGCATTATCCCCACCTTCTTTCTAGTTCACTGAGGTAGTTGTTTACATTGAAATGTATTTTTTATCTCTTTTCCCACACTAGGCACATGAAATCTCAGGACGAGATTTTGTTTATGGGGGGTAGATTTATAACACCTTCGGTGTTACACTATAAATCATATGCTAAAACATGTCATGAGCATCATGTTTATGTGTTAATGCATGTAATATAGAGTGTAGATCAAATTCCATAACTTAAAAACGATCAACGAAAATGCATAACGGAAGTTATTTCCATAGTCATGTTATATCACTTAGGGTTGAAAACCAATTTTTATTAAGCAACAATGCTATGGAACATATATGTGATACTTGAATAAAGTTTGAAGTACAAACTTTGTAGATGACGATGAAATACCTGCGGTCGAAAAATTATATCACTAGCTAACATTCTAATAGCTTGGAAATCGAATTTGAAGCGAATCCAACCCAAGACTTAGTCGATTTCTTAAATCAGAAAACGGGTTGACAAAGCTAGGTTTGGTAATTTTTGTAGAAGAATTGGGTTAAGGAGTGGTGTTGCATTATGGCTTGTTTTAGTAGCCTCATATGCCCTCTTAGGTATAGCAATGCTGGTTTGGATGTTGGGTCAACCGATTGAGTGAATTGGATGCTTTAAAAAGCGTGCATGGCCATTCTTGGTTGGGTTCCTTGCGTGGGCGTGGTCACCGTGCTCCTGAGCCATCGTCGGCGCGCCGGCTGTGCTTGCACGCGTGTTCGGCCGAGCTCGGCTGGCCACGGTGGTCGGCAGCCCCGGCTCGCAGTTGTCCCTTTTCATTGCCGCGGTGCACGCTACCGCTGGCGCCGCTGTTGGGGCCTCTGGGGCCGCCCACATCGCTCTGTTGCTCGACTCTGCTCCACCAGACGCCATCGTCGTTTCTGCTTAGGGTACAGTGCCATCGCATGGCTGTAGCCTCTGTCGCTAGCACGCGCACGTTCCCTCTACGCCGCGTCGTCACGTCGAGTGCACTACGAGCGCAGGGCCGTAACACCCCCACGTGCACCTGCTCCACCTAGCATCCGTGTCCCACCGAGGCAGCACAGTGTCCCTCTGCTCACCGTGCCACTATCGCTACCGCCCTTGTTCTGCCCACGCGTGTAGCCATCCTCAGTCATGCCTTGTCCTCTTCTATTAAGTGGCAAACGCCATGCCGTGCTTCCCAACCACCACCGCCTTGAATGGCATCGCGCCGGCCTGTCCGTGCCGTGCCAAAGCAAACCGTAGCACTTGGTCACCTCTGGGGTAATTGCACTCGCCTGAGGCTCAATTGGGAACCTAGCTACGCGCCAAGCCCACCCGCTGCCATAGCCGTGCGATGCCAAGCTCCAATTTTGAGTTTCCCCGTCGCCGATCATCTTATGGCCGATTTCAAGCCACTCCAGAGCACCCCCTTCACTGAGCTTTAGCATCCAATTCCGTGGCACCGTTGTCTTCGCCTTGATTCCCTCTATCCCCTGCGCACCCCACTTGTACCATCATTGCTTTCCCGGCACCACTAACGTGGCCGCGCCACCATAGTCCATCGCTGGGCTTGCCGTGTGCGCGTGGCCGGAGGCGCCCCGTCCGTCCCCGGTCAAGCCACCACCACAGGTAGCTACGGGGTGAGTTTCTGATGCCCCATTGGTTCTATCACCTTGGTTGTACTTAGGCTCACTGGAACACGGCTGCCGCCACCGTAGGGTGTCCGCCGTCGTGGAGGGAGCTCCTGACCGCGTCCCCGCTCATCTCTTCACCGCCCATCGATTCGCGTCTGCATCTAGGTGAGCATCGGCTCCTTAGAGGGGGCGGGGAGGGGCCCGGATGTCCGACGTGGCGGTCCGGCCCGTGGTAAAGAAGCAAATGGGGTGGGGCTTATTTGTAAGAGAGCAGTCTATAGGAATAGTGTTGCGGACCTCAAGGTAAATCATCGGTAGCTCAAGGGCGTTTTCGCATAAGTGACCGGCGCGCACGAGTCTCCCCGTCGTAGGCCATTTCCGCGCGGATGGGCCGCATCTTGTGTGGGCCGCGCCGCTCGCTAGTGGGCCGCGCGGGTTAAATTCGTTTTTCATTTTTATAGGAGATAGAAATAGCTTTATATTTTACATTCTAAGTTGAACTTTGGAAATTAATATCAATTCATATAAGTATCCAAAAATTATGAAATAAATTCTGTTGAGTTCCTAAAAATGTTGTCTATGTGATAGTATGGTTAGTTTATATATATCTGTGTTGATGCTAAGGTCTATTAAATCATTTGGAAGTGTTAATGTTATTTAGATTAATAATTATAGGAATTTTTATGGCAAATTGGTAATAGCTTTAGCCATGAAATTTTTACAGTAGGTTCATTACATTATTATGTGCTCACAGTAATTTTTGTAGCCTTAGAATATGTTGAGAAATATGGGGGCTAAGTACTCCTTGTAGTATATATATTAAATCGGTAATAAGAATAAGGATGCCTTTAGTTGCTAAACTAATACGTGAAATGTTTCATACCTGTTAATAGGAATAATAGGTAACTTAGCGTCTTAGTCATTAGAGCTAGCTTCGTCGTAGCTTGGTACATGTATTCTTATTTTAAGAGTTGCTGTTGCTGTATTACTAAGTGTTGTATTATCATTTCATGCATGTAGATAACGAGTTGGTAGAGTTCGTGACTGCGGGCAAGTAGGAGTATGAGGAGGAGATCCTCGTCCAGGAGGAAGCCCCGAAGTCATCAGTTGCTGACTTTGCTGACACCCCGCCTGCCCAAGGCAAGCTCCGGTGCATAACCTCTATTTTGAATAAGCACTGAGTATATATATCTGTGATGTGCATTTACGTTATAGGCATTTTATGGAAACCACCTGCATATATGTACCTACCTATGAGTCCTACTAGTTTAGATCGAGTAGCTACTATGCTTAGGATTTTCAGTAGCGTGAGTAACCTGCCGTTACTCACAATAGGTGATTATTATTATCACTCTCATGATAAAATGGTTAAAGAAAAAATAGAGACCAGACAGGGATATGATATGGGTATTGGTGGGTGTAAGAGGTTGTGTTCCGCGGCCAACGGGGTATAGCTTGATTACACTGTTTCCCTGTCTATGTCGGTTAAGGACCGGCCGTTGCATTGGGTTTTAGGCAAGTCACAGATTTATTATCCTGAGCATATACTTGTTTATGGAAATAGGGAAGGCTTGTTGCTCTCTTGTCGTGGGTTCCGGCTCTTTTCGGACCGACTGATTGGAGGCGGGGATGGTGGAGGTCTAAGCACCACACTGAGTCCATGTGTGGGGGCTTGGAGTCCAAGTTTGGACGGGGACCTAAACCCCTTGACAGGAGAGTGGTAGGCTAGTCCTGCTTATGCCTGGGGTACAAGAGGGGCATGTGTTTTTCGGGATACTCAGCTGGGCACATTGATTCGTGAATCGCCGGACGATCCGATATGGCTTGTCTATAGTCTAGCACCGTAGTAAGAACTAGAAGATTAAATATGGTGAAATGGATCTGTTTGCTCAACTCTTACTTGAAAGTAGAACATGTGCTTACCTAGAATGGCTAGATAATGAACTAATTATGACTGCTAATAATAAACATACATAAGGATTCACTACTAATATTGCTTTCTGCAAAAAGGAAACCCAAAAAAACATAAAGCTTATCATATCCTTTGGAGTCAAGAAATTATTCCCACTAGTCGGATAAGTTTTGCGAGTACATTGTATACTTAGGGTTTATTTACCCCTGTTGTAGGTGCAGCTTAAATATGGCTTTTGAGTGAAGGATTCTTCTAGTGGGCACACATAGATCCTTGTATCTTAGCGCTAGATGTTTATTTAATTCCGCTATTTAAATTCCGCACTCTGAATTTGGTTCTGTAATAATGTATTTCTAAGAACTCTGATTGTATGAAATGGATTAAGTATTGTAAACTCGTTCTCATTATTGGATCCTGGAGGAAAAACGTGGACTATTCGAGTTCTCCTTTGGGGTGTGCTCGACGGAATCCGCCCAATATAGCTTGCTTTCAGGATGCTTAGTGTCTGGTGGAAGACGAACGTCCCCGAAGATGTGCTATTTCGAGTGGTTTTGCTATAAAATATTTCCCTCTTTAATATTAGATAGATAGACAGACAGACAGAGGGACTAGACTAGCTGGAGGGCGATTAGCGAGCGTTACGGGGAGCTTCAAACTATCAGTGAGATTTTTATTACAATTTATATATAGCTTTAGTTATTAGAATGTTTATCTGGGTGTAGCTCTAGAGAGTATGGCATGAAGCTGGACTTGTTCAATTTATTCATTGAATAAAACAGGGAACTTCCTTTTTTCTCAAAAAAAAGTCATGACAAAGGAGTCGTTGACTACAGAAGTCATACCATCACGTTACCCTGGGGAGCGAGGAAGACAAATGAATGATAACTAGATCAGCATCAGCCCACCCTTACTGAAAAAGAAATACTCCACCAACGTAGCTACCCATAAAAGATCCTTGTTCCATTATACATTTCTTCATTTTTTCTAACACAAGCAGGTAAAGAGCACCAAAATATTTGGATATTCCCAAAACGCTACGCATCATCCACTGCGAGAGTATATTCAATCCTGTTAACTCACAACCAACACAAAATAGCCTTTTGATCCCAGCAGGTTGGGGTAGACTAGAGATGAAATCACACAAGACACACAAATAGAGGGCAAAGTTAAATAAAAAGGTATTAGCAATAGTAATAGAAGTAATAAGCACACAGAACTGATAATATTTTTCTTTGCCTTCATAAAAAGACATGTTATGCATATTGAGGTACGGACGATCAAGGTTCAACTACTCCAATCCATTTCTAATTATTTATGCCCTAGCTGTAGGGAAGAAAAGTAGCTGATGAATCAGTATAGCCATTATGCCTGAGACCTTTAAATTATTAGTTCAAATGGTCTCATTGCAACTTTAGGCCTTCACTACAAGCTCGGACAGCATGTTTTCCACGAAATCTGCCAAGAGGGCATCTCCAGAATGCACAAGGAACGCTAGATTGTCTGTAAGCTCCAATGACAGCTTATGAGGACGCCCATATTCAGAACTAGCACTGCTCTTGGAACTCGAAGCAATGTCATAGCTCCCATCTGCTTGTCGTGTGAGCCCTATGCGCACAAATAACAGTTCCTCCATCTCCACCAGCCATGGCTGCTGGCGCTCTCCCTGTGCACCACGCGCAGTGACACCATAATATTCAGTAGGAAGTATGTATTCATCCTCCATTTCACTTCCAAGTATCTGTTTCTCAATTTTACGCCGATCCAATAGGTCCTTAAAGAGGCATGAAAGTGCAGCAATGGCATCATTGGCCTCTACCAGTGATTCAGAGAAGACCGAGATGATCCAGACAGCAGCAGCGCATACCAGTGGTGACTTGACATGGCGGAGCGTCCTCAGAAGACCTTTCAGAAGTTGGGCTCGCAACGAGGGGTTGTTGTTCACGATATCCATGATGTAGCGAATACAATCAGTGAACACAACATATTTGGGATCTAGTGTGAATTCCAGGATACTTTCCGGATAAATAATATGGCATTCTCTAATCGCCTTCTCCAACATCTGTTGGTACTCGATATGGACGTTAGCAGAGGTTGCCATAATCAGCTCACTATTCAGGATCCGTAGCACATCGCAGACATTCGTTGGGGTGAGGAGGCCCGCCACCAGGTTCAGAACCTTCTTTCGAAAAACAAGTTTGCAATTTGCTAAACACCCTAGTACATCCACGGCCAGGTCATCAAACCTTGGGTGATCGACCTCGACCGTGGTCATACTAATCTTGTTTAGCCTACCAAGTATCGCAATCACGCTACTTATTTGAGGTGATGATTGTGGTGGCATTGATATAAGAATATGGCAATAGGCTCTTGCAATGGTAAATGCAAATCCTGGAATAGGGGGCAAAGAGAGCAGGGCATCTTCACATGCACGCACCACGGTGGTGTGCGGTGACAACATCAGTGAGGCAAAGGTTGCAACACACCTTGTGTTATTGATGTTTGCCGGTGAGAGACGAGAGACGCCACATATCATTTTGACGGCAGCCAGTTGACCCTGAACTGTCCACATCCTCACCATACTTGCATGATCTTGAAGACAACGAAGGCCTTCATCCATAGAACAACACCAGATGGCATGGAGAGCCTTATTGCGAGTTGAGGAGTCCATGTTCACGTGGTTGCTGATGATGGCCTCCCTTATTGCCTTTAGAGTTAAGTAAAAATTCCTCTTGACGGCAGATTCATGGTCAGGCTTCTCCAGATTGGAAGCAAGACCAGAGATTAGGCGGCACAGAAGCTGCGGTTCAGGGAATTTACCTTCAGCAATCAACGCTGAGGCACGATTCGTGGCATCGACATTAGCAACCGGGTTCTCGGACTCGAGATTGGCCGTGATCATCCCGAAGTCACCACATCGCCCAGTGTTCTCCATGGCCATGCATGAGAGAAAGAGGGGAATTCTCAACGGTTCAACTTGTTTGGTATGTGTTGGGCAAGGTGATAGTGTGCGTAGCGCGTGTTTATATGGCATGCGTGGCGTTTGTCGTCTACCTGAAAGGTTATAGATAGAATTAAATCCTTTACGTTTGCAGTGAGCTGTATCCCGAATTCTGCCTAAGGTGCACTTGATTTATTATTTGGAATGCAATACAAATTAACAAGGGAATGCTACACATGCAACACATCTGTAAAACTGCATTAAAAATAGGTATTCCAACCCCCTTTGATTAACAGGTAAATCTCCACCCAAGTGATTTTAACTATTTTATTCCCCTGTTGTACATGTGGTTGTACAAATGGTTATCAACACTCAACCAGCAATGTGGTGTGCAACCCATACAGTTCAATTTGACATGGCTTATGCGAGTCATAATGCATCTAAAAGAACTTTTTAAAGGCAAATTATACTGGAAAGTAGAAATGATTGTAATTATTTAAAAATATGTACACTGAAATTATAGAATTTTAATTGTCAATACAAGTAAACAACAGTGGTAGAAAATGTTTGAAACTTGTAATTGCCAACTTAACATCTTTTATGGAAGTACTATTCCAACACTAAATATATAATTAGGCTCTATATGATACATTCACATTAACTACTGCATCAAACTACATCAAGATTGCTCTTACCATTAAGAATTATATTGACACTCATCTAAGTTTTTCAGTCCTACATACCAATTGGGCAACTCAAAACCCATCACCTTCTTCACAACAATACTTTCTTGCCCATATAGTGGGAAGAAGCAAAGGAGGCCCTATATTCCATAGATGATTGTCTAGCATTGAATGTGAGTAGGGCACCTTGCGAAGTGCATTAGATAATAAGCAAAGACAAGAAACTTGTTTCCTCAAACACCTAAGGTTTCCTATCAACTTCTTAGTGCGATATTGCAGGTGTGCCGCGTATGTAGGTTTATTTTTGGTTGGGTGTGAGAGCATGGGTATGTGGGGTGTGAATGGGATTCTTTCCTCTTCTTTAATGAAATGGCACACAACACCCCCGCACATTCGAGAAAAGAAAAAACTTCTTAGTGCATCAAAGTCAATAAAGGACCTATTGTTAGTAGCTTAAGTGGTATTTTTTAATAAATTTATATGACATAAGCAACATAAAAAAACAAGTGTGTAGAAGTCTTCGAGCATGAACTTGAGTTTAATCGGGTGAAATTTGTTCCTTCTATGCTACATATTCCATCCTATATTCGAAATTAAGAACAAGACATTTGATAATTGCAAGCCACACTTTGCGAAACTTTTAGTGATAGCATGGTGTGTCACAGTTTCTGTGGTGAACCACAAATAGTGCCTATGTACTAGGTGATCAAAATGTGACATGCAAAATGTGTGGCAGAAAATCAGACACCAACCTAAATAAGTCAAACTTTGCCAACTAGGTTGTGGCAAAATGTTTGGGCCAACCAATTACACCTGACTTTGGGAAATTATTTTTTATTACACAAGGAATCAATAAGTTGAACTGCTAATATCATCTCTGGTTCCTTGCTGGCGTTAAGGGTTTTGCACATTTTGAAGTGGTTGCTAGGCAGATGGCTTGTCTCTGTTCATGTCTCGTTGTGTGTTTTTATGTAACGGGTTCAAATGTAACTAAGCTTTTATTTGGGTGTGGGTGTGGTGGGCTGTGGAAGAACTAAGCCATTTGACACTAAGTACACGAGAGACCAAGTCAAACCCAGTAGTCTATCGAGCATACCCGAAGGGAGAACTTGAAACTATCCATGTTTTCATCAAGATCATAAATAAGTGAATAAAACTTACAACATTCTTAACCATTTCATACATCACATAGTTTCTAAATTAGAGTTGTTATAAAACAAGTTTTCATAAAGCAATGGAAGATAAACCAATTTATACAGAAGCAGCAGAAGTTAAGCAGTTTTCAATATTAAAGGTTAGGTAGAGATATAAGAATAAAAAGTTCAATGGTCGGGGCGATAAAGGAAGCCTTCATGAGCCTACTAGGTGATATTATTTCTCTCACCTCACCAAATCCATATAGCAACCAGTAGGAGCATTCTCTTCTCCAAACTTGTAGACAGAATGTAATGAAGTACCTCTCTTTCGCTGAGAGCATGCCCACCATCTGTGTCCTTTAAATTCCTCCTCTAAGTTGTGTAAGCACTTCACTTGTTTGATCACCTTGCATTCCAAAAAATAATCGTATGCTAGTATGATATATTTGTAAGCGTACGTTCTTGAATCTTAATGGCATCATCAATCGGTTATTTTTGCTTCCAGCGCATGCTATTTTGTTCTTACTCGACAATAGTCTCAAGACTTGTCATTCATTGAGATGCTTGCTATGTGATATTTTGCATTAAGGGCACGTACAACGTGTTGCCAGCATCCATCTGTAAGATGTAAATTTTGCAAATCCACCCTTCTCGTACCCTAGCTGCTTTCCATCAATAGTCCAACCTCCACACCCGTATGGTCATATCTCGACGAATGCTACCCGTGCCCAAGGTGCTGCTAGTAGCTCGATGAATCCATGGACGCATCTTCAATCAATAGGTACAGAAAACAAAGGCAAGTCAAAGAAGATGCAGATGGCTTCATTCTTCAACAAAGGCAAAGCGCTAGATGAATTGCCCATTTTTGAGACATCATAGACAACCAATTAAATAGATATTTTTGCCCTTCTGAACCTATTTTCTGATAACCCAAAGTCACTATAAGACCTTTTAAAAGTTTGATTCAGAAATCTGAAATGGCTACTAAAAGGTCTGGAGTCTGGACTGGACTGGGTGGGCAGCATCTGGACTTGGGTTGGACACGAGTAGGGTGTTGACGGTTCTGAGTGCAAATATAATATTAAGGATTCTGCAAGCGCACAAACTACCATTGTAGCATTTCACCGGGAGTATTCTAGGTATCGTTATTTATATTTTACCACAGGGAAACAATAAAATAAAGATTTATTGGATAATAAAAGTATATCTATCAATCAATATACCAGCATGGCTAGAGCAAGGGAAATGTAAAGATAGGAATTATGCATAATGACACTCAGGGGATAGAGTGTTAATGATTAAATAGTGATAACTTAGGTGTATGATGGGTGAGGTAGATTCCTATGATATTCTTACTATAAGCATATGTACTTAGTTATAGCAAAAGATTAACTCTATATTCATGCATAAGGGACATCACTAATGAAGAGCATGGCTAAACATATCTCTTCCCTCGCAACCGGGTCCTGCTAGTCCTGAGAACCTCGTAGCTGTCACTCTACTTGGTCTACCACACGTTCTGGCATGTAGGGTGCATCTGTAGGCACTACTATGTATAAGCACCATGCTTACACATAGTCTGCTACTGAATCCATTTGAATAAAGCTAGGCTAAGTGCTCTGTGATCCTATGCGTAAACATAATGCTAACTCCGACTACTTCTAAGCATATAAGCATAACCTTGTAAATAAGAATATAACATGTAAGCATTGAAGTCTCATAAGATATGAAAGTGTAGATACAATGGCTTACCAAGCCTCTAAGACTAATCCAGAATCTATACATGAGTCCACTCGACCCTAACTCTCAAGATAATAATCTACTACATTAGAGAGTTATAGACATATTCCTCCTAGTGTGTCTTGATATTGATCTCATGATCTCTCATGAATTATGGATTGAGGATTTCTTTGGAGATGCCTCTCTGAAGAGGGTCAGGGGGTCCTTTTATAGGGGAGATGGAGTAGGGGGCAAGTGAAAGCTCTAGTTTAGTTTTGGTGAATTGATGAAACCTTAAGTGCTAACCTAGTTTATCTAAGTGATTATGAGATAGGTGGTACTATTCCAAGTGGTGGAGCAATGGTGAAGATCATGATGATGGTGTGACCATGGTGATGATCAAGTGCTTGGACTTGGAAAAGAAGAAAGAGAAAAACAAAAAGCTCAAGGTAAAGGTGATTTCCATATGAGCTTTTTAGTTTGGTGATCGAGACACTTAGCGAGTGTGATCACATTTAGAATCGATAGCCGTACTATTAAGAGGGGTGAAACTCGTATCGAAATGCGGTTATCAAAGTGCCACTAGATGCTCTAACTCATTGCATATGCATTTAGGATCTAGTGGAGTGCTAACACCCTTGAAAATGTTTGTGAAAACATGCTAACACACGTGCATAAGGTGATACACTTGGTGGTTGGCACATTTAAGCAAGGGTGGCGAAGTTGGTGAAGTGAAGGAGGTGTTTGTCACTAGAAAACAGTGACCAGACGCTGCTCTCGCAGCGACCAGACTCTGTGCCTGCGTCCGGTCAGTGTTGGGCAGTGATGGCCTGGTCTCTGTGAACGACTGGACGCTGAACAGTGTTTGTGACCGAACACCCAGGGCCCGCGTCCGGTCAGGTTGTGACGTACGCTGACGCAAGCATCAGAGCCAAAAGGTACTCTAGTGGATTGCTCATGGCTTGTGTGATCCTCATCTTGTGTTAGTTGTGCGGCACCCTATTGAGGGTTTGGCGTGTGATGCCAATTAGTACGTGAACCTCCAAGTGAGTGAATCGCCACAACGATGACTAGCTTGCCGGTAAGCAAGTGAACCTCGGTAAAAAATTATTGTGTCATCATTTGATTCCGAGATGATTGGTCTTCATTGGTATTCATTCTTGTGATTGATTGGTTCATTCCTCGACTCAGCGGTATAACCATCTTGCTCTCTCTCTTTACACTACCACAAACTAGTTGTCAAGCTCTTTAGTATAGCTAGTCGTGAGAGCTTGTTAGTTTGGTTAGTGTGGCTCCTTAGTTAGCCTTTGAGAGCACACTAACTTAGTGTAGTGACATAGCCATTGTGTGGATAGAGACTATAGAAACTAGAATTATGGTAGGTGGCTTGTATTTTTAGTAGGCTAGCGCAACATTCGCTTCGCCTCATATTTGTCTAACCGGTTTGCTAAGTGTT